TTGTGGGCTGTAATGCTAACAGTACAACACGTTATTCCTTTAGTTAGTCTAACATGTTGATCAGAATAATTCACATGACAACAGATATTCCCAAAGCAACAACTCAATTTGATCATATTGCCATGGTGATATCATTCGGCTGAAAGTCTATCAATGATAAGGTTGATTTATCGCGTTTATCTTATAATAAAATTAGCCATGCTGATGACTCATATATTTAGTTTCGCACACAAAGATATTCAGTTAACAATGATATTACTGAAAGCGCTCGAAATCCTCATATTTCAGTTATATAACAATTTGAATCACTTAGCAAATAGTAATTGCCTAATTATTCCAGCTCTAGTTTATTACCAAAGGTGTAATTAAAATGCAGGAAACTCATTACAAATTATGCTTTAAAGCCCCCCAGAGACATTCAAGATAACTGTGACCTTCCCGGTTTGCCTCCAGCCGGTCACCTTTGTTGCATATCAACCCTCTCTCTCCCTGCTTTTCCTGTCAGTATCTCTCCCATTTATTTCAGCATAAGAAATGGGTCCTTTTAGTGGTATAATGACAGTGTGGCAGCGATGAATACAGGTCAATAATCCTACTCCCCAGCCTTGCAATTTCAAAATGAGGAATGTGATGTGAAAGTGCACATAGAAGGCTTATTTTCACAAGATCTATTCAATCAGAGCCCTTGAATGCTGTAATCATAAAAACAACCTACATTGGCTACACATGCATTTAAAGCAATATGATCAAAGAGTGTTTAAATACAAATTAATATAAGAAGAATCTAAACTCAATGACCAAATCTTTAATTTTAGTGAGTAAATGTGTGTGTCTCACCAGGGCTCTGTGCCGGCTCCATACTGTCAGGCCCTGGTATGGGAACCCTGCGCGTGGGGGTTGGGGGGTCAGTCTGTGTATTCCTCATGGTGACTGTGCAGGGTTTTGGTGAGACAGGTGGCTTCAGGGACTTCCTGGCCTCCATCCACTCACAGCTCTCCTCCGTCCTATCAGCAACATCGGACACCGGCCTCCGCCTCAGCACCACGCTGCCGTTCTGCTGCGGCTCGCCTACGATTTTACGGCTACTCTCTGTGTGACTGCTGGGAGAGTCCACCTGGTTATTGCTTGGAGTGACACTTTCTGTTTGATCAGACCTGCGTTGTTTCCTGCGTATGGTTTCAGAGCCTGTTGTCATAGTAACGGCGTTAGCATCAACGGATGCAGGCGCATCGGAGTCTGTCGGCACGGGACGTGGCCTTCGTCGGAGCGTTGCTGTGCTGTCCGAGATCTCTGATGATGAGGAAGAAACCATTGTGGAGCGGGGCCGAGGCTCTGGGCGTTGCTGGACTGGTTGCCGTGGTAACAAGTCGATGGGATCACAAGGGAGGGCTTCCGGTCCGCAGATGGTCCGGCGCCGACTTAAGACATCCTCTTCCTCTGAGCCAAAACCTCCTGCACCTGCCTGCCGACGTAGAACAGGGGGACTCACCTGGGGTCACATGAGTGTTACACATGCTTTTTGCTAAAACATCTATTTAAGTATTGTCGCCATAGTATAAACGAGTGTTGTAAAGCAACAAAGTTTATTTATAAAGGAACTTGCACTTGACTATTTTCCTTTTTTTGTTACTTTATCCTTTTAATCTCTTACATTTATTTGAGGGTTCCAGTTACTTTGCAAATTCAGATTATTAATACAATAACAAAATATAAATCCACTAATAAATGATGATGTATTATCACCAAGCATTGGATACAGAACATACAATGAATTAAAGTGATGTCCACAATAATGCATTACTAATTATAATTCAGCAATATAATTCAAAACTTTTACTTGGGATACTTAATGTTTTTTAGCATTTTTAAAATTGTTCAATAGGCGCTTTCACACCGGAGCACTTTTCCCAGTATAGTTCCGATATAGTTCCGAACATTTGCGTTCACACCAAAAAAATCCAGATCTAGAACTTAGTTCACTAGAAACGTTTCAGTCCCTGCTAGAGAGCAGGTACTTTCATGGGAGAAAAAGGTTCCCATTTCTGATTGGCTGGGCGGATTGCAAACCACGCCCCGTACAACTCCAAAAAGTTTTGTGAAGCCGCCATTTTATTTGCTCGCATTAGCATTATTAGCATTAGCATTAGCCCTACGCACCAACGGAGAGAGAATAACTCATGGCAACACAAAATAAAACGTGGGAGCGGGGGAGATGAGCAGGTGTCGGCGTTCTGGCGATTTACCGGGGACTCCGGGGGGTGATTTACTTTCAGTATACGCCGTGAAGTTGTTTGCGGCCTGCCAGTAAACCCAAAGCAGAAGAAGAAGAAGTGACGTCAGCGGCTTCATTTGCCTAATCCTTCCTCAGGGACTTATTCCGGTGTGAACGCGATCTGCTCTTTAGTTCATCTGAACTAAAGTGTTCTGATGAACTAAGTACGGCAAAGTACTTGGTGTGAAAGCGCCTATTGTTACTTAAGTAATATTTTCAACACTGGAGCTTTACTTATTTTCGCACTGTGGCATTGTTACTTTTACTTAGTAGAAGATCTGAATGATTCACCTGTAGGTAGCTGGTGCTTCCTCCCACATTCCTCGGCAGGGTTTTGGCTCCACCCACGATGGATGTTTCCAGCATAGCAGCGAGGCTACGAACACTCCCAGAATTCCCCTCTGATCTCTCCAGGCCCCCTGAGTCCTGAGACCTTAAAGCGGAACCCAGGCTGCCGCAGTCACTGGCTCGCCGCTCTCGATAGCTTGGCGGCCCCAGCAGACCCTCCACCTGCCCCTCTGCATCCCCATCACCCCCAGTAATGGAAGAACAGGAGCGTTTAGGTGGTGTTGGGGGCCGACCTTTACGCCGGGGACGGAGCGTGACGGATGATTGGCTGCGGTTTACAGTGACATCATTAGGGGCAGGATGTGCGGAGCTGCTGCGGCACACAGTGGCGTATCTAGAGTCTGACTCTGAGCCAATGAGACTGTGAGTTCTCCGTCGCTCTTCCTCCTCACTGGGCAGGCGGAGCAGTGGCACTGATGAATCTGCTGCTGCCAACTGGGTGGAGGGTCGCGGCCGAGCCCTGGGGGAGGCCTGCTGGGTCCGGCCATGTGGGGGGGTTTGTGGTGGGGTTTGTGTTGGAGTGTGGGGAGGCGTCTGTGAATGTGGGGGACCTGGGCGAGGTTTGGCCAGCGGGCTGGGGGCACCGTCTCTCTGCTTCCTCGCCTCCCTCCGGGCCTCTGAGCTGGTGCTGCCACCTGGGCTGGGGGGAGGGGAAGAGGAGCTCTGAGCATCCTCAGACCCCCTTTCCCCCCTCTGCAGGTCCTTTAGTCTCCTCACTCCCAACATCAGCTTATTTTGATGGCCTGAGGGGAGGCAGCAGTGTGGAGGAGACAGATAGTTATTTTATTTGCAGTATTCTGTTCTATGAAGGTCTGTTAGCAAAATAAATGCTCAGTGATTCACAACAAGCTGAATAATGTATGTCAATATTACAGATAGAACAGAATTACGGTATGCGACAAGTCTGACCATCACATTTGTAATATATACTGTATGTATAATTATTATTTGTAGGTACAAGACAATCTATATATCTACAAGCTTTTCAAAATAATATTCTAAATCTAAATAATGTAGCTGAGTCTTACCGAGTTTGGTAATGCCAATCTCTTGCAGATCTTCAAGGCTGATGTCGGAGATGAAGTCAATGTTTTCATACCCATTCTGCACCAGAACCTGGTAGTACTGACTCAGGCCCAGGTGAGACAGCCAGTCTCCCAGGTTAGCCTAAAAAACACACAGGAGCACACATACATGAGCACAATATGAATATGAATATGAAGCTTGTGCACAGCTTACAAGTTACAGAGTACAATTCTATTTAATTTTGATTCAGAAAAACTAGTTTCTTAGCAGATTCTTTAAAGAGATTTGAGGGTGTATATACGTATACACCGTATATTCTTGTGTTCATGCAGCTACAATATCTCTCCTTTTCATATTTTGTGTAGTACACGTGAGAATCTTACAGGCTTGTTGTCTGGCAGCCAGTCTGTGGACGGCAGCTTGCTGATCTCTGATGTTAACTTCTTTCGATGTCCGGGCTTCATGACCCCAATTGCCGTCAGGTCCTTCAACACAAAGCACACTTAGTCACACCAAGAATTCAGCATAAAACTACTATGGGAGTTTTTTTCTCTCAAAATGTACACATTAGTATGCACACGTTTGACATTGTGCATGAGCTGTGTGTGATATGCCTTCAGGAATATTTTGCTTTGGACAATCTCTGATGAGTGTCCCCTGCTCTGAGGAAGGGTTATGTCATACCACTGTCTCCCCTTCAATACACAAACACACACTAGTACTAAAAACACACTCAAGGACAAACACAGGGAAGCGATTACAGCACAGACTGGAACACACAGCCATGTGTGAACACAGGTATGTAAATGAAGCAGACAGAGTATGAGTGGTTGAGGCTCAGGACTCACACCAGGGGGTCAGGTGACAGAGACAGGAGGGTCATGATGACATCATCCACGTCAGCTGATTTGAGAGTTTTGCTGGGCGGAGCCTTGACAGACAAGGGGCGGGGCGTGAGGTGGTCAGGTGTCATGACCTTACCTCGCAGGTCATGCAGCTAATGGTGTCTAGATCATATCCCGCGGTGAGGAAGTGGGTGGTGTAGAACTGCAGCTGAAACTCACCCAGCCACGCCACTACTGCCTGCTTCTAGAACACAGAACAAAGAACACTACTTCCTGCTTCTAGAAGAGTCCACGGGAATTCTTCTAGAAAAGGGAACACACAGAACTGTTCTAGAACACAGCATTGCAGCCTGCTTTAGAACACGGGAGAGAATACGGTTCTAGAACACAGGGAAGAAGAGTGTTCTGGCATAAAACATAGCAGTTTATTCAAGAAGAGAGGAGAAAAGACAGTTCTAGAACACAACTTAGCAGCCGTTCTAGAAGACAGGAGAAATTACTTATCTTCTATCTAGAACACATTATAGCAGCCTGCTCTAGAACCCAGGAGACAATACTGTTCTAGAACACAACATAACAGCCTACTGTCAAACAAAAGGGAAACGAGGGTTTTAGAATGCAACAACCTTCTTCTAGAACATAGGGGGCAAGACTATTTCAGTACACAACATAGCAGTTTACTCCAGTACATAGGAATGAAGAAGTTTTAAATCACAACATTGCAGCCTGTTCTAGAACTTAAGGAGTAAGGACTGTCCTAGAACACACCATAACAGCCTACTCTAGCACACAGGAGAGATCTTTTGTAGAAAAGGTGCAGAAACTTCCATTGTAATCCCAAAATGTAACCCTGTAACCCAACACAATCTGAGACGCAATCATAACAATACATTGAAAACCTGTTGTGGAACACATTATAAAGACCAGCTTAGCTTGTCAGTTTGTCTTTAGCTACCAGAACAAACTAACCAACCAACCTACCTATACTCAATGAGATAACTTCAGGGTTTTCATGAATAATAGAATAAATGGATCGTATATTGGGTTGACCAACCCTTTATAAACCTTGCAATTGTATCAATGCTCAGAAGGGACAGCTACTCCAACATTTGACTATTTGAATCAAAACAATCTAGATTAATGGCAATATGACCTATGACAGAACACTGCTGTCGCCTGGTAACTAAGAAATGCTTGATTCTAGCTTGGTTCATTGGCCTGCTTCTAGAACACATGGAATTTAACCCGGTACAGAAAATAGACAGCACTGGTTCTAGAGCAGAGCGGCAGCATGTGGGTGTTTGCCGTCTCAGTGTGGTGTGAGGAGAGGGGGTGGGTGGATGTAGGCAAGACAGCCACAGACTCCTCAATGTGTCGGTCACTATGCCTGTCTCCATGGTGACACATTTGCATGCCCATCTTCAGAGTGTCATCTGTTCAGGTGCAACCCAGCCACCTTGGCAGATGCCTCACTGAACTCAATGAACTCAATGAACTCACACTTGTAGATGTAGATTTCTCTCAAACCAAAGCACTGTTTGAGAAAAATCTGAAAGAACAGAAAGAGGAGGCTCCAATCTGCCATCCAAGAACTCACTTTCCCATCATCCTCCTCTGCCTTCCGCTCAAACGACCGCTGTTCATGAACAGTGCAACTGGAGGTGCCTTGGGCTATAGGTCGAGAGGTGAGAGAAGGGAGAAAAACAAGAAACAAGAAATTAAACAAATTACGTTTGAAATGCAAAGGACAGTTTTGTTATTTCACCCTTTTATATTTTGATAATTACAATATAACACACCATGTTCTTTTTTTATCTTCATCTCATCTGATCATTCTAATACAAGGATATTTTCACAAGGACACAGCCATCTGGAATAGAGCTAAGTGCTGAGTGAGAGCAGTGTGATAATAATAACGCTGCTGCAATTAAAAGTATATATATACCATAACAACGGCTTTTATACTGTATCTACAGTCCTACACGCTGAATCCGCCTGCTGTAAACAAGAGTTAATTTCTCTCACCAAGCCGTAACGTAGGTGCTAATTGGCTGTAGTCTGCGGTGTGGTAAAGTGTGACTTTTGGCCAAGATGAAGACAACATGAGGAGACCCAAGATTCAGCTTTGTTGCATCTACCTCTCTGATATTGGGTTGGTGGATCAGGGACAGAGACTAAGAACAGAGGGTGTTGTATGCTGTATGGATTGTAAATTCTCCTGAGGTTAATTTGTCATTTGTGATATTGGGAAATATGAATCAAATTGTATTAATTGATTGATTGATCAAACATGATGTATGTCTGTTTTAAATTGTATCAGTACATTTTAACACTCAGTTTGTCACATGAAAAATCATTTATAAAATGCTGGTGAGTTTCTTAATAATTTATTAGAAGAGTTTATTCGTAACTAAGTGTTATGTTACATGATGTGTAATAATTGACAAATTCTATTATAATGGGAACAAATACTGAACTTCCTTGGTTAAAGATCATGGAAGACACCTGTTTGGTGTTTCCACTCGACTATGAGTTCAAAATGTGAAGTTATTTCTACATAAATATTTTACAAACAGCTTCAAAAACGTCTCTGCTCTGAAACAAAATCTTACTATAACTCTGTTCTAATAAATTATTAACAACTTAATGGACCTGGAACCTGGTGACTTGTTGCAAAGCCAAAACATTGTGTTAGAGAGTGATAAAGTGCTGTATGTTGAGGTTGAGAAACATTGGAGGATCAAATCAAGCCAGGCATATCGTGAAAATGTTGTGGTGTATCTGAGACACCATATACATGTCTATATAAATGTATAACATTTGTTTTAGAGACATATTGTAAATCTACTTTTTCTAAGCCCCAGACACTTAACCGAAGAGGAGTGCAGCTGCTAACAGTGTTAACTTGCAAATATCACTTGAGAATGAAGTTTACAAGCTACAATATATATATAGCTATCCAATATAATCCTAGTAAAAGTGTTAAACACATGCAGTGGTTATTAAATGATGGCGAAACTTGCCAGTCAACATACATTTCAGAGAACCATCTGCTGATATTTCTTTTTTATGAGCATTTGGATTTTTGAGGTCTGTCTCTTTCTCCTTCCCCTGCTCATGTAAGTTTTTATTCCGTTTATTTCAAGAAACATAAAATGACCCTGACAACCAAAAATAATGAATCCCAGGATCGAGCAAACTGTCACTAGCTGTTCAGAACCGTATTTTACAGCAGCCTTTATAAATAAATCATTACTATTATGCACGGGGACCGGAAACAGTACTCATGTCTGATATGAACAGACAGCTGGTCTTTAGAGGGCCAGGTTGACTAAAAGTGAAATGAGGAAAGAATATTCATAAAAGCAGTCATCCAAACCAGCCATGGGGCACTTGTTGTTCTGTTAAACACCGCCTTGATCTCTCTTAATTTACTTCAGACAGAATGTGTTACACTTTTTTTATTAGGAAGTGAGGATAGACATTGTATTATCTGTTTAAATAACTGCTGTCTTTGATCAAATAGCAGAAGGCAGCAGCTGAACAGACTTTAGACTTAAATGAATCATGGCACACACTTTCACTTTAACTAACGCTGAGGCTTTGATCTTGTGTTTGGGTGAGTTTGTGTGCTTACTCTCTGACTGCTCAACAGACTGCGACTGCTCCAGGAGATGCTCCTTAGCTTTCATAGACTGGGACAGCACAGTGGCCAGGAGCTAAAAACAGTTGAAAAAACACACACACACTCAGAAAATGAAACATTTACTCAAGCATAATCATACAAATCCAAGAGGATTTGTATGACTCAGTCGGCTGACTGCACATTCCGTTTGCATTTCCTGCAGTTCAACAACAACACATGCAGCAGAAATCTGAGAATAAGTACCGAGGATGTACTTTCAGAATAATATGGGAACACCTTCTAGTTTGGCTTACATGTAACTCATTAATTTTTAAGGTACTACCTAAAAATAGACTAGCTATGTATATTCGGTGGTAAGATCAATTTAAGAATGTGCTAAAGGTGTTGGAGAGCAGACCTGTAGGGTGACATACAGAATTAAAATGTAAGGACAGTGGACAAATGAAAAAAAAATGTTGACATCATAGTCACAAAATATAATTGACTGAAGACACTTCAATAGCTTGAATCAAGTATGCAGGTTTATGTTGTCGTTGGGGCAAATCGTTTTGCAAAGTCCTCCAAAAATACATATAATCCTATTGCACAAATACCATGCAGCATGACCAGCATGACACACGTATTATTTTGTTAAAGTGTGACTACATTTGAATATAATAACAAGTAAATAGAGAAAATCTACTGGATTCAGGTCTGTTCTGCCGCCCGCAGTGGGCATCCCCTGCAAAGGTTCGGATGTGATACTCAAACAATTACCGGTTGCCTTGTCACAGACAATCTGCTCGACAAAATATGTTTGTCTTTTTTGTTTCCCTGCGATGATGGTTCTTCAGGACTGCTTCTTAAGCTCAAATCACACTCTCGCAGACTTTGCTGGTGTTTCTAAATTAGATGACAATGTATGTGTGTCGTTTAAGAGGAAAAGATGCCTGTTTTTGTTGTTTTTATTACTGTCAGGAAATGTGCAACCTAACCCTGGTCCGCCCAGTAGTAGTAGTCAGATCGCTACTCCTGCTGATTTTAAAGCTAGGTCTGGGTTGGGTTTCATCCACTTGAATGTGCGCAGTCTGTTAGGTAAACTAGACTTTGTCCGCATTTGGGCAAGCTCGACTGACGCTGACGTCATTGTTTTATCAGAAACATGGCTAAATAAATCTATTTTGGCCTCTGACATATCCTTAAATGGTTATAATGTGTATCGTACCGACCGGCCTAATAAAGGTGGTGGCGGTGCACCTTAGCGCGCTGACAAGCCACGCACTCACCAGCCCAAGTCCTCACGTCCTTTTTCAGCCCATGCCAGACGAACTTCGCGGCCACAAAGCGCACCGAAGGCTTAACGCCGGGGTGTGACAGTCCGTTCACAGCCTCGAACACAGGACGCCTCCAGCTGGCGGGAACGACTGGCCGTGACAGGCCCGTGGAGACATCACACAGGAGGGTAACGCCCGCGTCGCCGAACACCACGTCCTCCAAGCGCAGCCCCGCGCCCCCCACCTTCAGAGCCTAGACGCCGGGGTCTGTGACCTGGTCTGCCGCCGTGCGATCATAGTCCAGGCCCAACTGGACTGCACCAATTACGACTCTGGAGAGGCAATCAGCAACCAGGTTCGACTTGCCAGCCACGTGCTTAATGACGCGCCGACCAAGGCTCCGCCACTTTAGACATGGCGAAAGTGAGCTGCTTAATGACGCGCCGACCAAGGCTCCGCCACTTTAGACATGGCGAAAGTGAGCGGCTTGTGGTCGACAAACGTCGTAAACTCCCGGCCTTCCAGCATGAAACGGAAATGCCGTACGGCCAAATAAAGACCCAGGAGCTCACGGTCAAAGGCGCTGTACCTGCGTTCACTGGGCGTCAGCTGGTGGCTGAAAAAGGCGAGCGGCTGCCAAGCGCCCTCCACCCACTGCTCATGCACTGCGCCGACCGCGTAGTCCGACGCGTCCGTGGTGATGGAGATTGGAGCCGTAGATGATGGGTGTGCCAGCAAAGCCGCCTGAGCCAACGCAGTCTTGACCCCGGCAAAAGCGACGTCCGCCTCTGCTGTCCAGTCGATCGCCTGGACGGGGGTCTTGCCTTTCAACGCTTCATACAGCAGCCGCATGATGTGCGCGGCCCGGACGATGAAACGGTGGTAGAAGGTCACCATCCCCAGAAACTCACGGAGCGACGGGGCTGTGAGCGGGCGAGGAAAAGCCGCAACAGCCTCCACCTTCACTGGCAGAGGTGTCGCACCGCCCTTGGTGACGCGGTGCCCCAGGAAATCAATGTCAGACAATGTCAGACACCCCGAACTGGCACTTTGCAGGATTGATGATTAATCCGTGTTCGTTGAGCCGCGTGAAAAGGGCTCGGAGGTGGGACAGGTGCTCCTGCACTGAAGCGCCGGCGACGAGTATGTCGTCGAGGTAGACAAACACAAACGGCAGGTCCCGCAGCACCGAATCCAAAAGGCATCCGCAGGAACTCAAAAAGTCCAAAAGGTGTTATCACTGCTGTCTTGGGAATGTCCAGAGGGTGCATGGGCACCTGGTGGTATCCACGCACCAGGTCCACCTTGGAAAACACCACCGTACCGGCCAGATGCGCCGAAAAGTCCTGAATGTGCGGCACCGGATAGCGGTCAGGCATAGTGCCGCGTTGAGTCGGCGGTAATCCCCGCACGGGCGGAACCCGCCGTTCGGTTTGGGGACGATGTGCAGGGGGGAACCCCAAGGACTGTCGGAGCGGCGGACAATGCCCAGGTGCTCCATGGTTGCAAACCTGGGCATTGTCCGCCGCTCCGACAGTCCTTGGGGTTCCCCCCTGCACATCGTCCCCAAACCGAACGGCGGGTTCCGCCCGNGTGTGTGTGTGTGTGTGTGAGAGACACAGTGTGAATCCAGGTTTATGTTTGAATAATTAAACAGGAAGCAGGGTTTCTCTGCAGGAGAATCACACACACAAACACCGCTAACACCTAACACACACACAGTTACAGGGAATTGGTGTGCAGATGTACACACTCTGACACGTCAGGTGTTAGTAATGTGCCTAACAGCGTTTTCATTATTAACTGTATGCTAATGAAGTTCAGTGCAGCAGGTGAGAGGGAGTTGTTTGTTCTGTCAAAATGTCACAGTTTGATGGAGGATGGATATAGCAGTTGAATTGGTGAAGGACTGTGTGAGGCCATTTCATTTCACAGCCCTTCTTGGTCAGTGCCAAACAGAAACACTTCTTCTCTAACCGATTACATACATAGTTTGAAATTATTCATTCAGATTAGATAAGGGCATTGATACTATTCTCATGTCTGAATGGTCAACAAGTAGCTAGAGCTAGCAGCGGGTTAGCCAAAACTGCTAACAACAACAACACAGTATAAAGCTTCTACATAAAGGTAGATACTGCTGCAATGGCATCTGCTACATCAGGCCTGGCTCGTATGTCTTCATTCCAAAGAGAATCAAACAGCGGCAATGAAGGTGTTTCAACATTGAAAGCTTTGGAAAGAGTTTGTGTGACAGATAGTTCATCCAATCACCTGCCAACTTTTTTTTACATTGCCTTTTCCAAACAGTTTCAAAACGAGGTCTTCTCAGATGGTTCTGTGTAACAAACCATCTGTCTTTTGAAGAACGAAAAATGAAAATAAGACTGTAAAAGATACATGAAATGTCTTGCAAAAATATTGTCAGTGCATATACATAACTAACCAAAAAAATGCCTACCAAAATATGCAAGAAACGCCTCAAGATAATGTCCATATCCATCAGTATTTCATTACTTGAAAATGTATTTACTCCTAAACTATTTGAACCAACATGGAGCTAGAAGAAGTTGTTTTTGAGGGTTTTTATTGAAGTTTAAGATAGACTGTAAATGGCCAGAGTAAGGACTCAGCCTTAATACCTGAGGTTCCTGTCCTATAGATCAATCGTTTTGTTTTTATAATAGGATTTGTTGACAGGAAAATAAAATGTCCCCCAGAGTTTAAGTTAAAAGCCTTGCTGCAATCATTATACTCACTGTTTAATGAAATTATTTGTCAGTGTATTGGATCATTAACTTTTTTAAAGTTCTAATGAATCCATTCAGACAGAAACATAGCGAGTTCCTGTACACTTTAAAATAGATTTAGACATAAAGCTCATTTGTAAACCATTTGGTAATGCTTTCCTTATCTTTGGCTCAGTTGCAATAAAGCTCTTAATCTTAGAGATATGAGAACATCGTTATCATAATTGTATCTCTCTTATGTTATATCAAGAAACTGAAATGGGCACAAAGTAATTTGTATATTGTATCTGCCTCTATCCACGATAAAGAAAGTGCAACAACACTTACCTTTTTCTGGCACAGCCACTAGTCTTTGATGCAGCTAAAGGTCTGTATCAAAATCCCTGATCTAAACTCAGCAGTAGATAGACCAGAATAAATCTTAATGGAAAAGATTATCTCTTTTTATTTATGTTTTTGGCTTGAGAACAACACATGATACTCACCTGAACTATAGATGTCTCTGACTGTTGTCTAATATTTGGTGTAAGGTGCAAAGAAAAGCAGATTATACTCCACAGTGAAGAGTACAGTTCTTGGGGGTTTTAACAGAACAATGCAGAACATTTGGAACATGAATTCCACTACAGTTCAAGTTAAAGTCAGTGTTAAAAAGCAATGCGCATAATAATTATGTATCTTTTGTGCTAACTGTTAACCTACATTTCTAAATGTATTAAATGAAAACTTGAAAGGTTTCATGTTTTGACTGGGTCAGAAATCTTCTTGCCCTTTGAGGAATAAACTGAGAGCTGCTGGTCATCACCCCATCAGTAAAGGAGCATCTAAAAAAACTAAAACATCTTCGACATTTGTGACATTTCACTTTTCTAAACACATAATAATACAAACCACTATTTAGGATTTAAAAAGTCTGTAACATATATCTGCATATTGATTTTCTGATAATGGCCCCTGCATCACTCACATAACATTTTGTATCTTTGATATAAATATGATATAGCTTCTGCACGAGTATTAGCATGCTGTGCCCCTGAGTCCGGTCACTAACATATGTGTGTGCGATCGGCTGGAAGCAGAGCGAGAACAGATGTGTCAGCGTTTGTTTTAGGCCACATGTGAGGCTGGAACTCTAGATACATAATGACAGGCAGAAGGAGATGAAAACTGGACTTCAGAACATTTCTGGTAATGAGAACCCCTGAGAAAACCCTCCTGAGGTTCTGGAAAACACACCACTGTTACTCTGCATGTCGCTCTGCCAGAAGCTCATTGGCACTCTTTATTAAGATTGAAGTGTTTCAAATAAAATAAAATCACATCACATCACATAAACATGTAATGTAATGTAATAAACTCTTGAATAGCTACAATTTGAGGGAAATATGGCAAAAATGGGGCGAATCCTGCGAGCTAGTTCAGGCAGTCAACTCGAGCACTTATGCTGCATTCATACATAACGCCCCTTGCCACTCTACAACCAACCAAACAGAGTCTCCTTAATATGCCGCTCTATTTAATGCTATGCATTGCTTGCTGCTGCTATTGCTGCAGCTACTTCCACGTCGCTGCTACTTGCCTGCCCCACCACTACCCCAGCTTCCACCTGTAGGCTCGGGGGGTTAGTTATTTAATCATCACTCATGATGTATATCTGTGGAGTGATGAGGCCCGACTCAAACTCAACTATAAGCTCCTTCTAATAAACATGTTAAAGACACTAGTGAGTTGTCTGACTGAAATAATATGATAGTAATCCCTGCCAAGCGATTGACAGTCAGTGAGAATTGCACATTGAGGGGTTACTATGGTAACCGGGGCTCAGTTGCAGTGTTTTGCCTGAAATTATCATAAAAAAAGAAGAAGTAAATGAGCCCCGGTCCAAGGACACCATCAGTGAGATATTATGGTAATGATTTAAACAGTTTGTTTCAAAGGAGGAAAATACATAATTGTTACAAGGGTGGTAAATAAATAAATATTATATTTAAGGCTCATGAATTTAAGTGGCTGAAAAATTAGGCAGGAGGTTATGAATAAAATAAGTGTGAGTTCGTAGATGAAATCAGTTTTGAGACAAAAGAAAGGATTAATAGTTTGAGGGCAGAGCGATACCCCGTTTTAGTCAGCTTCCTCCTCCGATTTGATTAAATATACGTCATGGTTTTGGGTCTCAAGGGGGTGGCGTTATGAAATAATGCCATGATCCAGACTCCATGTAAAGAAGGATAATCTATTGAGTAAAACATAGTAGAATAATTGTGGGTGATGCATGTTGTGCTGCTGCCTTTCGTTCATAGTCTGAGGGGGGGGGTTTGATGTGACACAGATATCTGCACTCATTGATTCATCCGCTGGGGGGAGGGAGGGAGGATTCGTATTTTTAATCCAAGGAGGAAACCTACACACACACACACATACACACACACACACACATACACACACATATAGGAGACTGATGTCAGCTGCAGAGTGTAAACAGTAACAGCAGAACTACCAATCAGCACGCGCTCTTTAGCAAATTACAGGGGAAATTAGAGTGTGAGAGCAGGATGAAGGGATGAATTGCAGATATAGCTGCAGAGAGAAGGAGAAGCTTTTCCCCCAGATTACAGAACAGCTCCAGATTACTGCCGTGGATTATGTGGGTTGGCCAAAAAAAAAAAAAGTAGAGGCAAAGAGACAAACAATCCGCTTTTTCTGTGTCCTTGTCAGAGTGTGTTGGTTTTGGTCTGCGTGCTACTACCTGCTGTCTGCTAGTGTCTCCATCTTTCTAATGCTCCAGTCGGAGATCATGGTATCACATACATGTTTGCATATTCACATTGTAACAAGCGCATACATATACAAAAGAAAACCCAGACATACTTATCATACAGACAGGAGTGGTATCAATCTTTCATCCCAGACATAAAAAGGATTTTTCTTTCCCAAAAGGTTGAACTATTCCCTCAGGTTGATTTTATCTGAAGGGCAAAAATAAACCATGCTCTACTAAATGCTTTATTTGTCAAAGATAACAGCATCTGGTGGGAGAATGTATTTGATTACACAACCATTCAAATAGACCTGGAAAGTAAACTGGAACATTTGAATACAATCTTCAATTTCTCTTTAGTCTTTTGATAAAAGGATCAACACTAAACAATGAAATCAGAGTTCTTCATGTTACTAGATGGAACCGGTTTGTTCACATTAGCCATGCACTACTGATGAGAAACTGCCTCACAGCGATATCACTGGATATAGTGAAGTTGTAATAAAACGCTACTGTTAACACAATGGAATAATACAATTCTTATCGATGGATGAACACACACATTTCAATTTGTTTTATGCAACTCATATGACAGACACATTTTGTGAATATTACTTTAATGCTTTTGTGGATGAGTTTCCCAGAGTTACTTCTCTTTGTCTTCATTACCTTGTCACTTCTCCTCGACCTTGGCCGCTGCTGTTGAAGTGAGGAATCTGTTGTTTTAGAGGCTCAGGTATAAGCGTGTAGCTGTCAACTCTACCTGCAGGGAATGAATAATTAGAATATGTGCAAGGGGAGAGAATACGTTTATCACTGATTTCCAAATAGATTTAAATTTCACGGTTTTTGTAATGAGTTTGTTATTCTACTATTTTGCTGTCTCATCATGTCTCTTTTCTCTGTTTGTTTCAGAGCTCCTCGGAGCTGCAAAGCGAGTGAACGTCAACATCCAGGATGCTGATGGGTGAGGCAATACAGCTCATTTTCGTACCTATTGTTTTTCCTCATTGAAATCATCTCAATAGTTTATTCCCCTCTTTACTTATTCAT